CAGAAGGTAAAGAACATAACAGGGCTTTTAAAATTCTACTCCTTGGAGATGAGGAAGTATTTTTCACTCATGGGGAAAAACCTCAGTGCCACCATTCATATTGTACCTAATGCAGGAATGAGCTCAAGTCAACTTGTATGAGCTAGTGGGAGCCAGTGTGTGAACATCTCTTCCCAATTTTGCATTCAGGGTTATCATACTGGTAGCTCAAATGTGGTCATGGTGGAAGTATTTACACAATGAAAATTAGCAAAGGCAGAGACTATAAATATGTGGGATTTTTTTTTTCTTTCTGGAGAGCCAGTTATTAAACATTCACAGGCATATCACTGACCTAAGCTCTTGAGAGCACTACTTACTTTCATCTCTGTGAGTTCAGAGCTCTAGTCAGTCTTTTTAAATTGTGACAATAGGGTTCATGGACCAAGTAGTAATTTAACAACTGTTTGTTTAAAGAATTAATGCTTGAATGAATTAACACATAATGTACACAATTAGAGTCTATTTTTCCTTGTAAATCCATGAATAAAATTCCATTAATTTGTTATTTCTAAAAGCTACACTGGATGAATTATGGTCCAAATGTTCCCCCTTCAGAGATGAAGAAACCAAGGCTTACATTTGATTGGTTATTTGCTTAAGGACAACTAGTTAATAGCAGAACTAGCATATAAATATCTTCTTGTTGTTAGGTGGCATCAAGTTGGTTCCAACTCATAGTGACCCTATCTATGTACAACAGAACAAGACTGCCCAGGCCTGTACCATCTTCTCAATCATTGCCATGTTTGAGCTCATTGTTGCAGCTACAGCGTTAATCCATCTTATTCAGGGTCTTTCTTTTTTTCACTGACCCTCTATTTTACCAAGCATGATGTCCTTTTCCAGGTACTGGTCCTTCCTGATAACATGTCTAAAGCATGTGAAATGATATCTTGTCATCCATGTTTCTAAGGAGCATTCTGGATGTACTTCTTCCAAGACAAATTTATTTGTTCTTCTGGCAGTCCATGGTATATTCAATATTCTTTGCTAACACCATGATTCAAAGGCATGAATTCTTTTTCAGTCTTCCTTATTAATTGTCCAGCTTTTGCATGCATATGAAATGATTAACAATACCATGGCTTAGATCAGGAGTACTTCATTCCTTATAGTGACATTTTTGATTTTTATCACTTGAAAGAGGTCATTTGCAGCAGATCTACTCAATGCAATACACCATTTGATTCCTTGACTGCTGCTTTCATGGGCATTGATTGTAGATCCAAGTAAAATGAAAACCCTGCCAATTTCAATATTTTCTTTATTTATTATAATGTTGCTTATTGGTCTTATTGTGAGGGATTTTTTTTTTTTTTAAATGTTTAAGTATAATCCATGCTTTAATCTTCTTTAGTGAGTTCTTCAAGTCTTATCCTCTTTTAGCAAGTAAGGTTATGTCATCTGGATGTTGTTAACGAGTCTTCCTTTAATTCTGATGCTGCATTCTTCTTCATATAGTCTATCTTCTCAGATTATTTGCTGAGCATGCAGATTGAATAAGTATGGTAAAAGAATACAACCCTGGTGCACAGCTTTCCTAATTTTAAGCCATGTAATTTCCCCTTATTCTGTTGGAATGACAGCCCCTTTGTCTATGTACAAATTCCTCATGAGCACAATTAAGTACTCTGGAATTTGCATTCTTTCAATGTTATCTATAATTCACATAGTCAAGTGTCTTTGCATAGTCAATAAAACATAGGTACATCTGTTTAGTATTCTTTGATTTCAGCCAGGATCCATCTGACATCAGCAATTATATCCCCTTTTCCATGTCTGAATCCACCTTGAATTTCTGACAGTCCCATTTCAATGCAATTGTTTTTGAATTATCTTCAGCAAAATTTTAGTTGCATGCTGTATTAATAATATTGTTCAATAATTTTCATGTTCTGATGGATTACCTTCTTTGCAATGGGTAAAAATATGGATCTCTCCTAGTTATTTGGCCAGGTAGCTGTCTTCCAAACTCCTTGGCATAGATGTCTTCCAAACTCCTTGGCTTCCATATTGTGTCCATTTGTTGAAACATCTCAATTGGTATTCCTTGTTTATCACCAATGCCTTCAGTAAAGGTTAGATGTCTTCCATTGATAGAATTTGTTCTTCATTTTATGCTATCATCTGAAATTGTTGAACATTAGCCCATTCTTTTTGGTTTAGTGACTCTGTGTATTCCCTCTATCTTCTTTTGATGATTACTGGATTACTCAGTATTTTCCCCAGAGAATCTTTCAGTAATGTAACTCAAGGCTTGAGTTGGAACATTCAGTATTCGGTTCTTTCAGCTTGAGAAATGCCAAGATGTTCTTCCCTGCTGGCTTTCTAGATTCAGATCTTTGCATATTTCATTATAATGCTTTTATTTGTTTTACCAAGCCATCTTTTGAAATCTTATATTCAGCTTCTTTACTTCATTTCTTCCATTAGCTTTAGCTACTGTACTTAGCTACTCTAAGTTCAAGAGCAAATTTCAGTCTCTTTTGACTTAGTACTCTTGGTACTCTTGTGTTTTAGAACTCTTTTTGTGAAAATGCACTGCCTTTTTAGAGTTAGACTTTTTCTTGTATAAGCAAATACATGCACGCCATAGAAATTAGCAGATTTTTCAAAGAGCTGAAAACAAATTATGGTGATCAATGAAAACAAAATCAACAGCCTCTATAATGAGTGAATACCCCAGAAACACGTTAATTAAAGCAATGTGCATCTTTAACATTGGCCAAAGATAAAATTATTTTGCATTTTCAAAGTGCTGCCTTTCCATTGATACTCTCAATTATTTGACAGTATCCATGGAAAGAGAAGGGTAATTGCAAAGGGAGAGATTGTTAGTAATATATTTAAAGGAGGAAGCACAGAAGCTCTATCCTTTAAATGTAAAGCCAAGTATGCAGAGTATGTTCACAATTGTTTCAAATTCTGCATACGCATTACATAACATGGGAAAAGACATGTCCAAAAAGCAAAGGGTAGAAATCATATAGAATTCTGATGCAAAGACACTGGACACCACAACGAAGATCCTGACAGGCAAAAAACTCACTCAAAACTCTTGATAATGTGACATAATCACTCTGAACAAAATGATCAAGCAATCAGAGTCTTAAAAAATCATTTCCAGAGGTTATTAAAAAACACAGTTTATAATATGGGACAGGTGCAGGTTCTAAAAGCTCAAAAATGATGAGGTTTATTAAACAAAAACATCTGCCAGTTTCAACATTTTCAGGAGGCTAGAACTGATCATCTTTCTTGGACTATGGCAAAGCCTTGTGGTACAGTGGTTAAGTGTCTAGCTGCTAACCCAAAGGTTGGTGGTTAAAAGCCACCAGCCACTCTGAGGAAGAAAGATGTGGCAGTCAGTTTCCATAAAGATTATAGCCTTGGAAACCTTACAGGGCAGTTCTACTTTGTTCTATGGGTTCACTATGGTTGGAATCGACTCAATGACAATGAGTTTGGTTTTTTGTTTTGTTTTGTTTTGTTTTCTTGGACATAAAGTTCCAAGGGAGCTCTGGTAGCATAGTGGCTAAGGTGCTTGACTGCTAACCAGAAGGCTGGCAGTTCAAATCCACCAGCCACTCCTCAGAAGGTAGATGGGGCAATCTACTTCCATAGTGATACTGCCTCAGAAACCCAAGGAGGGGTTACTATGAGTCAGGTCTGACTCGACGGCACATAACAACAACAACAACAAAGTTCCAGAGCAAAAGCAAACACTATTACCACAAGGGACATATTCTGTATTTGTCAGAATTTTTGCTCCTCATATTTCAAAATTTTCATATTCTACAAATGTTTAAAGTTTTGCTGAAGTCTAGATTAACAAAATCTACTCCAGAAAATTAATGTCAAGTTTTAGGTTAAGTTTAGACAAAAAAAAATTGCATATAATTCTAGTCACACTAGCAAAAATTATGAGTAGCTAAATAATTTACTACTCTATTTAAAAAATAATAATAGCTGAGTTAATTTTCATACAACCTTGAATCTGAGTTCAGAGAAGGTAAGTAAGCTGCCAATATCATATAGCCAGTAAGTGGCAGAAGCAGGATTTGAAGACCAGATAGTCTGTGTATTCAGAGTACAAGCTTTTACTGATCTTACTTTACTGTCTTATTATCTATTTATTAAGAGTGAATAAAAACGCAGGAGAATATATTTTACCAACAAGCTGGAAATAAATGAAGGGCACAAATAAATGAAGTTACCAAGATAACTCAAGTAAAAGTGCGATGTAATACCTGTATGTCTTTACTTCCATAAACATAATGGCAGATTTGCTCAGGTCAATATAGCATAACCGCGTAAGAAATGAATTGTTGTTTGAATTGAATACATGTAAGCACAAAGAATTTCAACATGTATTCCATTTTTTTTTTTGGTAAAAGCCACACTGTCATAGTTTAATGTATGCTAATGTGTTTGGGTTATTGATATTTACAACTGCCCAAATCAGAAATGGGAGCTCTGGTGGCATAGTGCCTAAGGTGTTTGAAAGCTAACCAGAAGTCTGGAGGTTCAAACCCACCAGCCAGTCCTCGGAAGGAAGGTTGGGCAATCTACTTCCGTAGTGATACTGCCTCGGAAACCCAAGGAGGGGTTGCTATGAGTCGGGGCTGACTCCACAGCAGTGCATTGCATTGCGTTGCAAATCAGAAATGTGTAAGTCTGATTTTGAGCTTTATTCCCAGAAAATCTATAAGCAAAGACTAGACAAACTCTCTCATTGAGAAACTAGTATTCAGTGTCTTTGAGCAGTTTTGAGCAAATATTAATTTCACTTTATGATATGAAACTTTGAAATAGTGTATGAGATTTAAATTAGATCCAAGAAAGCAATTTCCTTGAAAACATATTGTCTATGTTTATGGATTGCTATTCTAAGGTGCCTGATAAGAAGATACAAAGGAATAATAATGGTAGAAAATTGAAAGAACGGAGACACTCACCCTAGTTTTGGCATCGATCTGACCACCACGATCCAGTAAGAGCTTCACCATGTTTGTGTTTCCCCTTTTGGAAGCCACATGCAGAGGAGTGATTCCATTCTACACCATGAAGAGACCAAACAAGAGCATGTTGGGTATGACAGGGTATGATGGTGATGACTTTGTTAAAGGCTACAGAGGAGGTAGTGACCTATGTGGTAAGTTGATGCAAGGTTTCTAAAGTTTCAATGTCTTTGATTTTTAAGAAACAAAAAAAGCACACACCACAAAGCACTAGAGTTAGGCAGTAAAAAATGGAATGACATTACATAACTAAGTTAGTCATTATCTACAATAAATGTATTGAATATGCACACTACTGTCGAGAGACAAAGGAAGCACTTTTGTGTAATAGATCCCAAAATTCAGATCCTAGCTAGACTAGATCCCTAGGTCAAAGCCTGGCTTTTCTTTTATAATATCCATGCCTTTAAACATTTTGGAATCTTAAAATTTCTTATGCTTAAAGGTGGAATACAAATATACATCTATATCTACTGGAAAAAAAAAATTCATTAAAACATCTTCAGAATAACTCAGTAAGAAAAAAACCTTAAAAATAAAACAAGATAATTTCATTGTATAAAATTTCTAAGGACAAAACTCTATGCATTCTAATCATATTCTTTCATTGGCTATCATATATCATAATAATGACAATAAAATGTACTTGACTTTTCTCTATGTCAAAATATTTTACATAGCCAAATATTATAATAATTGATTCATATTATATATAACAAGTTTTAGAAGATAGTTGAATTCTTTACAGTAAAGCCATACCATTAAGTATCTAACTTAATGTCATGTCTTTTGTGTATTTTGATAAGACTTTCCATATAAGCAAATTCTCAATTCATAAAGAACTAAAATTCCCTGTTGAATTACATGCCCTGTAACTTTTATAAGACACATTACTTACACATTTTGAGCTTAACATTTTAATTGTTTTTAAACTGAAGCTACTCATTCAAAAGTCATGGTTCAAATAAGTGGGTATTTCATAATGAAAGAATATATTAATTCATAGTCAAATAAGAAATACCAGTATAATAGAATTTTTTTCTGTCTTCATGCAAATTATAGCCCTGGCAGGATTTAAAATATACAGCTGTCCATGCAGATGCCTGAATCAATATCCTCCTTAACGACAGCAAATTATTTGTGTACATGTGGATTTATAATAATCTTATTTTTCACGTGTTGGGGCGATGATGACCTCCTGTGATTTGAAAGAAGAAATGGAAAATCTCGTATCACTAGCACAGATCCAGGTAAGGAAAAAATAAATAAAATCTTTAAGAGAGGCATTGGTTATTTTCACTTTAAAAATGGAAGTTCACGGTAAAATCCATGTTTACTGCTATCTAAAATGCGAAGCTCATTTAATCCATACCCTGGCTGTGAAGTCCACAGCAGCTCCTCGGTTTAGAAGAAGGGTTGCTACGTTGACATTTCCGTAGTGTGCAGCTATGTGCAAAGGGGTAAAACCACTCTATGAAAAGCAAATAAAATGACAGTCAATAAAGCATCTTGCCTCTATATGTTGTAGTCACTGTATTAGTGAAGAAAACCACATGGCAACTAACATATGAACAACATAATTCAGATGATAAATACTTTAATAAGGCTCTAAATTTTAGTTCAACAAGGTGGTAAATAACTAAATACAACAAAAAACTCACTTCCGTTAAATCATATCCGACTCATAGTGACCCCTACTTGGATCTCCGAGGCGGTATTACTACGGACGTAGACTGCCCAACCTTCCTTCTGAGGAGTGGCTTCTTGTTATTTTTACTCGAGTCCGATCTATTCATAGAGACCCTCTCTCACAGAGGCCCCTCCTTGGGTTTCCAAGGCAGTATCACTACGGAAGTAGATTGCCCCATCTTCCTTCCGAGGAGTGGCTGGTGGGTTTGAACCACCAGCCTTCTGGTT